TTTCAGGGTAAGGAAGCTGAATTTGTTCTGAATCTAACCTTCATTTCATATGTATCTTATAGGGCTGTGTAACCACGGAAAAATTTGTTTCTAAACTCAATTCGTTTCCAGGGGGCGCTAGCGTTTCCAAATTCTAAATACTTCCGAAATTTTGAGATTTCAAAATTTCGTTATTTACGAAATTTCGTTAATTTCGAATCGATTCGTTAATGGCGGACGCGATTGCGCAATATGCTAAAAAAACCTCCAAATGGGACAGGGGGAACTTCTGAAGCTTCCCTCTCCCTCTGTTGTTGACTGTTGGTGTGATAAACAAACAACAACTATAAAACTTGCACCAGACATGCGAAAATAATTACGAAATAATTACGAAATAATTACAAAATACGAAATAATTACGAAATAAATTGAAAAAATTGTTTCGAATCTAATTTACTCCTCACACTATTCCTGCATGGCTCAATATCGGATTGTAAGCTAATTTAAATACGAATTAATAACGAATTACGAAATTAACGAACGAAACCGCCCAGCCCTAGTATCTTAGTCATTTGCTGCTCTTTCTCCTTTGGCTACCACAAGGTGGCATTGTAAGAACTGTAGGCTGTCAGGGAGATTTATTTGTCGTGTCAGGACAACCAGTGAAATTATATTACATTTCTAACAGAACAAAGCAAGCAAACAGGCAAAATACAAAACTTGTGAGTTTGGTAGTTGATCAAATGTCCCTTGACCGGTATCTGGCCACTTGATCAGGTCAGGGAGATGCTTTGGGGGCATGAATGTTAGGGACACCATTCCAGAGAGGAATGAATGCCTTTTCCCATTTGCTGAGGCATTCTCTTTCTCTCTCTTACCCAAAGGGCTCTCTCAACACATACCGGTTTTGCGACAACGTCTGGACCTTCGTATTAAATGATGTCGAATTCCGAGAGGTCACCGAGCTGGTGAAAGTGGACAAGGTGAAAATCGTGGCCTGCGATGGGAAAAGTAAGTGGTGGACTTTGGTCTGCGAGCAAAAAGATGCGGTTGCTGTTGGCAAACGTGTTGGCTTTGACTGGGAGCAGCCTTCAGGCACATCTTGTTCTCTGTATTTATTTATTTATTTATTTATTTGCGACATATATACCCCCCTTCTCACCCCGAAAGGGGACTCAGAGCGGCTTACAAGATATATATACATACAATATATTATATTATTAGCATAGTACAATATCAGTATTAAATATTACTATATTGTACTATACCATTATATTGTAATATTATTTATTATTATTATTATTATTATATTGCATTACATTATAATTTTATAAATATTATATGTATATTTATTTATGGCATTTATATCATCATCATCATCACTTTATTTCTTAATTAGTCGCTCTCCACCAAGGTGCTCTGAGCGACTTACAATTTAAAACAGTTTATACACAATATAAAACATTCTATATAAAAACATTCAATATAAAAACATTCAACATAAAAACATTCAACATAAAAACATCACAACCAAACAGCCAAGTCTTGTTGCCCTTCTCGCCCCGAAGGGGACACAGAGCGGCTTACAAAATATGTTTTAATACAATATAGAATATTAATACAATATATTATATTATTTGCATAGTACAATATCAGTATTATATATTACTATATTGCACTATACCATTATAGAATCATAGAATCAAAGAGCTGGAAGAGACCTCCTGGGCCAACCAGTCCAACCCCATTCTGCCAAGAAGCAGGAATATTGCATTCAAATCACCCCCAACAGATGGCCATCCAGCCTCTAGTTAAAAGCTCCAAAGAAGGTGCGTCCACCACACTCTGGGGCAGAGAGTTCCACTGCTGAACAGCTCTCACAGTTGAAGTTCTTCCTCATGTTCAGATGGAATCTCCTTTTTTGTAGTTTGAGGCCATTGTTCTGTCCTAGTCTCCAAGGAAGCAGAAAACAAGCTTGCTCCCTCCTCCCTGTGGCTTCCTCTCACATATTTATACATGGCTATCATATCTCCTCTCATCCTTCTCTTCTTCAGGCTAAACATGCCCAGCTCCTTAAGCCGCTCCTCATAGGGCTTGTTCTCCAGACCCTTGATCATTTTAGTCGCCCTCCTCTGGACACATTCCAGCTTGTCAATATCTCTCTTCAATTGTGGTGCCCAGAATTGGACACAATATTCCAGGTGTGGTCTAACCAAAGCGGAATAGAGCATGGGGAGCAGGACTTCCCTGGATCTAGACACTAGGCTCCTCTTGATGCAGGCCAAAATCCCATTGGCTTTTTTTGCCACCACATCACATTGTTGGCTCATGTTTAACTTGTAATATTGTAATATTATTAGTAATATTTCATGTAATGTAAATATATAATTATAATAGTGTATTATTATAATTGTAGATAATAATAGAAAATATAGAATATTGGTCTGTCTTTCTCACCCCAAAACATGTCCTGAAAACACAGAGGCCAGCTGGCTTGGTCCTGGATTTCCAGTTTCCTTTCTCTGCAGGAGAAAGGTTTCCTTTCCTCTTCCCTGTTATATGTGTGCATGGCTTGCATCTCACTGTCTTTTCCCTGCAGGAGTGGGATTTGGTTCTCTGTCCACATCCTGCTTTTCTGTCTAGCTAAAAATGATGAATTCCTCACCTCTGTCTGCTTTTTTTTTTCTAGCCTCCTTTCCCTTTGAAAGCCTAAATCTTGGCAGAGGGATAAAAGTTGCAAAGTAAATACAGCACAGTTGGCATAGTGCTGCTCTGAATTGTGTGGGTTCTTGGACAATATTTGCCTAAGGAACACAAGAGGAGCATTATAGTGGCAGGTTTAGCCAACCTGTCGGTGTCGGCGTTGGCTCTGATGCCTCGCCATCAAGTCTTCTCCAGGTAGAATCCAACACCATGAGACATGCGCGTTCCAAAGGGCTTGGAGTCATGGCATCTTATAGATCAGGCATGGGCAAACTTGGGGGCTGCATGGTGGGCTGGAGCAGGATGGGGGGGGGGGAGCAGGAGCGAGGGGGTTCTCCCCAAGCACCTTCTCTGCCCTTTCCTCCCTTTCTTCTTCTCTTTCGGAGGCATACAGTGAAGGAAAGATGGAAAATGTTTGGATGCCAAAAGGGTTGGCCTTGGTCAGGATGAGATGGTGGACAGGAGAGAAAAAGTGTATCCGATCCTTCCTGGAGGGTCGATCCCAGATGGTGAAGCTGGGAGACGCCTGCTCGGACCCCTGGCCTTTGACCTGTGGGGTCCCGCAAGGCTCTATTTTGTCTCCCATGCTTTTTAACATCTACTTGAAACCGCTGGGAGAGGTCATCCGGAGTTTTGGAGTTGGGTGCCATCTCTACACAGATGACGCACAACTCTACTACTCCTTTCCACCTAAATCCAATGAGGCCCCTTGGGTGTTGGACGAGTGCCTGGCCGCTGTGGCTATCTGGATGAGGAAGAACAAGCTGAAGATTAATCCCGACAAGACAGAGGTCCTCCTGGTCGATCGCAAACCTGATCGGGGTATAGGATGGCAACCTGTGTTGGATGGGGTTACACTCCCCCTGAAGCCACAGGTCCGCAGTTTGGGAGTCCTCTTGGATTCATCGTTCACACTTGTGGCTCAGGCGTCGGCGGTGTCCGGGAGGGCTTTGGCACAGCTAAGACTTGTGCGCCAGCTACGACCATACCTCGCAAAGGTTCATTTGGCCGGGGTGGTCCATGCCTTGGTCACCTCTAGATTGGACTACTGTAATGCGCTCTACGTGGGGCTGCCCTTGCAAACGGCTCGGAAATTCCAACTGGTCCAACGGTTGGTGGCCAGGTTGTTAACTGGCGCTCCTTACAGAGAGAGGTCAACCCTCCTGTTTAAGGAGCTCCATTGGCTGCCGTTCATCTTCCGGTCCCAATTCAAGGTGCAGGTGCTTACCTACAAAGCCCTAAACGGTTTGGGACCCGCCTACCTGCATGACCGCATCTCCACATATGAACCCACACGATCCCTTCGATCACCTGGAGAGGCCCTGCTCACGATCCCACCTGCGTCACAAGCACGTTTGGTGGGGATGAGGGACAGGGCCTTCTCTGTGGTGGCCCCCCAACTCTGGAACTCTCTCCCCAAGGACATTAGACAAGCCCCAACGTTGGCTGTCTTTAGGAAGAGCCTGAAGACTTGGCTGTTCCAGTGTGCCTTTCCAGAATAGGAAACTCCTAGCACCATGTCCCAAATGCACTTTGTTAGAGATTTAGGATTGTCTGCATATTGCACCTACCTCCAAAACCTCTATATTTCACCTGTCATGTCCACCACTTTTAAATCTTGTTCATTACATTGGCCCAGCCTTTAGGTTTTAAATGCGTCATGGTGTCATTGTTTTTAGTGTTTTATTTTTAGCTTGATGTTCATTGTTTGCTTTATGAGTTTTATTGCTGTATTGTTATGTTGTTGTTTTGTTGGCGGCCTTGGCCTTTGTAAGCCACATCGAGTCCTTCTGGAGATGTTAGCGGGGTATAAATAAAGATAATAATAATAATAATAATAATAATAATAATAATAATAATAATAATGTGGGCCATTGTAGCCTCAGCTCGGCCTCCTCCCTCCTACAAAGGTTTGCTTGAACCATTGGAGATAAGATGTTGAAGTCCCATCTTGTGGCAAATGTGTACCCATTTGCACTAAGTAGCCCGTTCTTCTTTCAAGCTTTCCTGAGTCGGCCGCCCATCAGATAGTACACGCGGAAGCCTTCCTTTCTGATAAGCCAGGATTTCCCCATAACGTCCTGTTCCTTCGTTCTGAGCAAATCATGAGCGAACTTTGCCCAGGAAAATCCTTCATGTGTCAATATTCATAAAACACTCCGCCTGGACCAATGTCAGAATAACGGATGCAGACAGACGGAACAATGTGCCATAAAAGTGTGCACACGGAGGGAAAGTAACACCGGGAAGATCTAAAACTATACAATGCAACTGTAAACAAATTCAGAAGTGCATTATCATGAGCAGGACATGTGGCCAGGATATGCAGTATTAACAAGTTTTCTATTAACAATTTAGCTGCTGATATCAAATTAGAAGCCAGTTCTTTCTCCTCTTGTAAGGGAATTATATTATCACTAGCGGCCCCCTGGCAGGCGTTGCTGTGGCCCAGTCTGGTGATCTGGAAAATAATGAGAAAGTGTTGGTTTCTAATATATGTAATTTCTTTCTGCTTGTGGGTAAACAGTATTTCTTGCGGTTTCTTTGTCAGTGTTGTTATGGAGAGTGTCTGGTTTGCCTACTCTGGAACATGCAACATATCACTGTCCTTCTTTAGGGGTCCCTTTCAAATCTTTGATACTGCATCTGTCATATACATATATGTGTGTGAATGGTTGGATGGTCCTTTGTCAGGAGGGCTTTATGTTTTCTTGCCCTGGTGTAGGGAGGTGGACTGGCAGCATTTTTCAACCTGGGAAGTCAAGACCCCCGGAGGGGGGGGGTCCTCACCAGGGGGGTGTCAAGGGTCGCCAAAGACCACCAGAAAACACAGTATTTTATGTTGGTCATGGGGGTTCTGTATGGGAAGTTTGCCCCAATTCTGTTGTTGGTGAGGTTCAGAATGCTCCTTGATTGTAGGGGAACTATAAATCCCAGTAACGACAACTCCCAAATGTCAAGGTCTATTTCCCCCAAACTCCATCTGTGTTTATATTTGGGCATATTGAGTATTTGTGCCAAGTTTGGTCCAGATCCTCCATTGTTTGAGTCCACAGTGCTCTCTAGATGTAGGTGAACTACAACTCCAAAACTCAAGGTCAATGCCCACCAAACCGTTCTAGTGTTTTCTGATGGTCATGGGAGAACTGTGTGCCAAGTTTGGTTCAATTCCATCGTTGGTGGAGTTCAGAATGCTCTTTGATTCTAGGTAAACTATAAATCCCAGCAACTACAACTCCCAAATGACAAAAATCATAATTTTTGAGTGATGGTCCTTGCGTTGTTAGACGTTTTGTAGCCAAATTTGGTGTGATTTCGTTCATTGGTTCTTTTGTTTTTAAGGCACTCATTATGCACAGAGCATTTATATATAGATAGATAGATGTATAAGTAATAATGCCAATTTTGGTGTAATCTCAATCTCTATTTTTATTATTGCTCTTATTTCTTTTAATATGCTTTCCCAAAATTTTTGTATAATATTACATGACCACCACATATGAAGGTACGTCCCTATTTCCTGACAACCTCTCCAGCACTGATTTGAGTGTTGTCGAAGGCTTTCATGGCTGGAATTACTGGGTTGTTGTAGGTTTTTTCGGGCTATATGGCCATGTTCTAGAGGCATTCTCTCCTGACGTTTCGCCTGCATCTATGGCAAGCATCCTCAGAGGTAGTGAGGTCTGTTGGAACTAGGAAAAGAGGGTTTATATATCTGTGGAATGACCAGGGTGAGACAAAGGACTCTTGTCTGCTGGAGCTAGGTGTGAATGTTTCAACTGACCACCTTGATTAGCATACAATGGGCTGACTGTGCCTGGAGCCAACTTTTGTTGAGAGGTAATTAGATGTCCCTGTCTGATTCCTCTCTGTTGTTGTGCTGTTGCAATTTTAGAGTTTTTTACATCTAATCACCTCTCAACAAAAGTTTGCTCCAGGCACAGTCAGGCCATTATATGCTAATCAAGGTGGTCAGTTGAAACATTCACACCTAGCTCCAGCAGACAAGAGTCCTTTGTATCACCCTGGTCATTCCACAGATATATAACCCTTTTTCCTACTTCCAACAGACCTCACTACCTCTGAGGATGCTTGCCATAGATGCAGGCGAAATTCCACAGGTGAGGGGCCACCACCGAGAAGGCCCTGCTCCTCGTCCCCACCAATCTCACTTGTGATAGAGGTGGGGTCGAGAGCAGGGCCTCCCCAGACGATCTCAAACTCCGAGGTGGGACGTAGAGGGAGATACGTTCGGACAGATACGCTGGGCCGGAACCGTATAGGGTTTTGTATGTCAAGACCAGCACTTTGAATTGTGCTCGGAATTAGATCGGCATGAATAAATAACCGGGGGGGGGGGGGGGGGGGGGGGGGGGGGGGGGGGGGGGGGGGGGGGGGGGGGGGAGAGAAAGAAAAAAACCCCCAAGTTTTCTAACCTGACCTTCCCCAGCGTTGTCTCCTAATGCCTTGTCCTCCCTGTTTGATAGATACCGGTTCCAACGCTGCCGAGTGACGAGGGAGGCGAGCCTCCGCACCAGCCTTGTTGCCCTTCCTGGAAAACGGCGCTGCCAGAGACTGTGACGATCACTGTTTTTAAGTAAGCAAAGCATGAGGGATCCACGCCGGAACGCCTTGTGGGACTGCCTTGGCGAGAAGGTCTCTTGAGCCCACTTCCTAGGGGCAAAGGATCTTGCTTTTTTTAAAAGAGGGAAAGAGAGAACGGGGCGGGGGGGGGGGTTGGGATGAGGACATAACAAACTCAGTTGTTTTGGGGGTCCATCCAGGTCATGTCAATAAACCTTATTTAAAACTTTTGAATGCGCATTCCTTAATTAAGCATCTGGGGGCAGAGGGGAGAGCATGTTGAATGTTGGGTTGCTGAGAGTTTTTCAAGCTGCCTGGTCATCTTCCAGAAGCATTCTCTCCTGACGTTTCTCCCACATCTATGGCAGGTATCCTCAGAGGTTGTGAGGCCTGTGTCAATAAAATCCGGCCTCAGTGCAACTGCGATGAAAACAGAGTGCACTGTATATTGTCGAAGGCTTTCATGGCTGGAGTCACTGGGTTGTTACAGGTTTTTTCGGGCTATGAGGAGTGGCTTAAGGAGCTGGGCATGTTTAGCCTGAAGAAGAGATGGCTGAGAGGAGATATGATAGCACATCGCACTTATATTTAATCCTACATCCCTCCTGCCACACCAGCACTTTTAACCCAATACCCCTACTCCAGCCGGCCCAGTTTTAATAGTGTCTTGTTGTATTGTTTACCATTATTGTTTTTCTGCTTAACTGTTTTAATTTGCTTTGGGTATTGTTTTGTTGTATTGTGTTTTGGGGCTTCGGCCTGTGTAAGCCGCATCGAATCCCTTGGGGAGATGCTAGCGGGGTACAAATAAAGTTATAATAATAATAATAATAATAATAATAATAATGTGTAAATATGTGAAAGGAAGCCATAGGGAGGAGGGAGCAAGCTTGTTTTCTGCTGCCCTGGAGACTAGGATGCGGAACAATGGCTTCAAACTACAAGAAAGGAGATTCCATCTGAACATTAGGAAGAACTTCCTGACTGTGAGAGCCGTTCAGCAGTGGAACTCTCTGCCCTCGGAGTGTGGTGGAGGCTCCTTCTTTGGAAGCTTTTAAGCAGAGGCTGGATGGCCATCTGTCAGGGGTGATTTGAATGCAATATTCCTGCTTCTTGGCAGAATGAGGTTGGACTGGATGGCCCATGAGGTCTCTTCCAACTCTTTGATTCTATGATTCTATGAAATCCCAGCAACTACAACTCCCAAATGACAAAATCTATTTTATCCAAACTCCACCAGTGTTTGCATTTAGGCATATTGGGTATTCGTGCCAAGTTTGGTCCAGATCCATCATTGAGTCCACAGTGCTCTGTGGATATAGGTGAACTACAACTCCAGAGCCCAAGGACAATGCCCAATCTTCCATTGTTTGATTCTCCCACATCTATGGCAAGTATCCTCAGAGGTTGTGAGGCGTGTGTCAATAAAATTCGGCCTCATGCAACTGCGATGAAAACAGAGTGCACAGTGTATTGTCGAAGGCTTTCATGGCTGGAGTCCCTGGGTTGTTATAGGTTTTTTCAGGCTATATGTCCATGTTCTAGAGGCATTCTCTCCTGACATTTCACCTGCATCTATGGGAAGCATCCTCGGAGATTGTGACGGTCTGTTGGAACTAGGAAAGCGGGTTTATATATCTGTGGAATGACCAGGGTGGGACAAAGAACTCTTGAACAGAAAGGAAGAAACCATGAAAGTGAACAAAATCTGGCTACCAGTATTAAAAAACTCAAAAATTACAACAGCAAAACAACAGAGAGTAAACCATCAGGCACATCAAATCACCTCTCAACAGAAAGATTCCCCCAGGCACTTCCAAGCCATTAAATGCTAATCAAGGTGGTCAGTTGAAACATTCACACCTAGCTCCAGCAGACAAAAGTCCTTTGTCCCACCCTGGTCATTCCACAGATATATAAACCCATTTTCCTACTTCCAACAGACCTCACTACCTCTGAGGATGCTTGCCATAGATGCAGGCAAAACGTCAGGAGAAAATGCCTCTAGAACATGGCCATATAGCCCGGAAAACCTACAACAACCCAAAGAACTCTTGTCTGTTGGAGCTAGATGAGAATGTTTCAACTGACCACCTTGATTAGCATTTGATGGCCTGGCAGTTGTTTGGTGTGGCTTGTTAGTGCCTGGGGGAATCTTTTGTTGAGAGGTGATTAGATGTCCCTGATTGTTTCCTCTCTGTTGTAATTTTTAGAGTTTTTTAATACTGGTAGCCAGATTTTGTTCATTTTCATGGTTTCCTCCTTTCTGTTGAAATTGTCCACATGCTTGTGGATTTCAGTGGCTTCTCTGTGTGGTCTGACATGGTGGTTGTTGGTGTGGTCCAGCATTTCTGTGTTCTCAAATAATATGCTGTGTCCAGGCTGGTTCATCAGGTGCTCTGCGATGGCTGACTTCTCTGGTTGAAGGAGTCTGCAGTGCCTTTCATGTTCCTTGATTAGTGTTTGGGCAAAGCTGCGTTTGGGGGGTCTCTATGTAGCTAATCACCTCTCAACAAAAGATTGCCCCAGGCACTAACAAGCCACACCCCCAAACTGCCAGGCCATCAAATGCTAATAAAGGTGGTCAGTTGAAACATTCACACCTAGCTCCAACAGACAAGAGTCCTTTGTCCCTCCCTGATCACTCCACAGATATATAAACCCTTTTTCCTAGTTCCAACAGACCTCACTACCTCTGAGGATGCTTGCCATAAATGCAGGCAAAACGTCAGGAGAGAATGCCTCTAGACCAGTGTTTCTCAACCTGGGGGTCTGGACCCCTAGGGGGGTCGCAAGGGAGTGTCAGAGGGGTCGCCAAAGACCATCAGAAAACAGTATTTTCTATTGGTCATGGGAGTTCTGTGTGAGAAGTTTGGCCCAATTCTATCGTTGGTGGGTTTAAGAATGCTCTTTGATTGTAGGTGAACTATAAATCCCAGTAACAACTCCCAGTGTCAAGGTCTATTTCCCCCAAACTCCAGCAGAGTTCACATTTGGGCATATTGATTGCCATGCCAAATTTGGTCCAGATCCATATTGTTTGAGTCCACAGTGCTCTCAGGATGTAGGTGAACTACAACTCCAAAACTCAAGGTCAATGTTCATCAAACCCTTCCAGTATTTTCTGTTGGTCAAGGGAGTTCTGTATGGCAAGTTTAGTTCAATTCCATCATTGGTGGAGTTCGGAAAGCTCTCTGATTGTAGATGAACTATAAATCCCCGCAACTACAACTCCCAAATGACAACATCACCAACCCCACCAGTACTCACATTTGGGTGTATCGGGTATTTGTGTCAAATTTGGTCCAGTACTCTAGACCATGGCCATACAGCCTAAAAAAAACCTACAACAACCCAGTTTTGAATTTCTTTTTCTGTGAAAATCGGAATTGACTTTAGAATCGAACCACCAGCGCTCCCTACATCCGAAACGAGTTTTGAACCATTTTTTTGTGGATCAACCAAGCCTACAAATTATATTTACTTCTCTCGCTGGGACTGAGAGAGATATCAAGAGGGCTACAAGGCCAAGAACAAGCCACAAGAGAAAAGACAAAACCCACCCAGAGGAAAGGTGTTCTTCCCATACGTCAAGGGAACCAGTGACCACATAAGGATCAAACAAATAGCCAACTCCTGTAGGGAAAAGGTTTGCAAGGCTAAAGCACAAAACGAGCTCAGGCTTGCCAGAGACATTAAAAACAATAAAAAGGGATTCTTATGTCAGTAGAAAAAGGAAGAAGGAGGCGATAGGGCCTTAGCGAGGAGAAGATGGGACAATGGTGACAGGGGATAGGGAAAAGGCAGAACTACTCAATGCTTTCTTTGCCTCGGTCTTCTCACAAAAAGAAAGTCATCTTCAACCTCAGCAAGATGGAGTGGATGAGGGATTAGAGGACATCCAACCCCAAATTGGGAAACAAGTCGTCCAGGAATACCTGGCCGCTCTAAATGAGTTCAAGTCCCCAGGGCCAGATCAACTACACCCAAGAGTAATGAAGGAACTAGCGGAAGTCATTTCGGAACCATTGGCAACCATCTTTGAGAGTTCTTGGAGAACGGGGGAAGTTCCAGCAGACTGGAGGAGGGCCAATGTGGTCCCAATCTTCAAGAAGGGAAAAAAGGATGACCCAAACAACTACCGTCCGGTCAGCCTCACGTCGATACCAGGCAAGATTCTGGAAAAGATGGTCAAGGAAGTGGTCTGCAAACACTTAGAAACAAATGCGGTCATCGCTAATAGTCAACATGGATTTATCAAAAACAAGTCATGCCAGACTCATCTGATCTCTTTTTTCGATAGAGTTACAAGCTGGGTAGATGCGGGGAATGCTGTGGATGGAGCGTATCTGGATTTCAGGAAGGCCTTCGACAAGGTCCCCCATGACCTTCTGGCAAGGAAACTAGTCCAATGTGGGCGAGGCAAAACTACGGTGAGGTGGATCTGGAATTGGTTAAGTGGACGAACCCAGAGGGTGATTCTCCCCAAGGCTTCCTCTTCATCCTGGAAAGAAGTGACGAGCGGAGGGCCACAAGCAGGGTTCCGTCCTGGGCCCGGTCCTGTCAGGATCTTTATTAATGACTTAGATGAAGGGCTAGAAGGCAGGATCATCAAGTTTGCAGACGACACCAAATTGGGAGGGAGAGCCAATAGTCCAGAGGACAGGAGCAGGATTCAAAACGATCTTGACAGATTAGAGAGATGGGCCAAAACTAACAAAATGAAGTTCAACAGGGACAAATGCAAGATACTCCACTTTGGCAGGAAAAAACGAAATGCAAAGATACAAAATGGAGGACAATGCCTGGCTCGAGAGCAGTACGTGTGAAAAAGATCTTGGAGTCCTCGTGGACAACAAGTTAAACATGAGCCAACAATGTGATGTGGTGGCAAAAAAAGCCAATGGGATTTTGGCCTGCATCAATAGGAGCATAGTGTCTAGATCTAAGGAAGTAATGCTACCCCTCTATTCTGCTTTAGTTAGACCACATCTGGAATATTGTGTCCAATTCTGGGCACCACAATTCAAGAGAGATATTTGCAAGCTGGAATGTGTCCAGAGGAGGGCGACTAAAATGATCAAGGGTCTGGAGAACAAGCCCTATGAGGAGCGGCTTAGGAACTGGGCATGTTTAGCCTGAAGAAGAGAAGGCCGAGAGGAGACATGATAGCCATGTATAAATATGTGAGAGGAAGCCACAGGGAGGAGGGAGCAAGCTTGTTTTCTGCTTCC